ATCGGAAACCGTTGTTTGACTCATTAGGCAGTGTTCCGCAAAAACAACACTTTATCTTGGAGGTATCAGGATCCACACTCGACAAACAGAAATCTGATGAGAAGTGCTGGAAATAAGCGCATTAATTCGTTGAATACAAGGGAACGGAAAATGAACACTATCAACGCCTAAGTTTTATACATCCCTTGCCTCTGCATTGTCTATAGTTGCCAATGAGAATCAATGTATAACACTTAAAGAGTGAACTTTTATTGAATCGTATGCAAAAGACTCGATGCATGCGGTCCACTTTATGCATGGAAAACAATCATACACTTTTGTTCTTCGTTCTATGATTCGGACTTCTAAGCAGTTCCATAATTTCTAAGGCTTTTTATGTTCCGCGTACCATTCATGTTGTTCTTATGCAGTTTCTCATATTCATTTTATTTTATTTGACCCATCATCACGTCTGCTGTGCGCATCCCAGTACTTCTCACATTCAATTCGTTTCCTCGCATTTATTGTCCACAAAGATCTTTCTACTTTACGTGTGGCTTCGGTTGCTTTCATTTCAGCTTGAAGGTCGTAGAATGCTGGTCGAGCAATTCTCCCTGAAGTCTTGTGACAGCCTGGCTGGAGTGCTCCCAGTTGGATTGCATGGAGTCATTTTTCCCAGACAAGTCCGGTACCAATTTCCCGAAACCGGAGAGGAATGGCAGGGTTGGTTGGCCCGGAGTGGAATAGAACTAGTAACATGCTTGTGATGACTGCCATCACTACCAGTGTGCTAACCGCCCCTTGTTCCTCTTATTTCTATAAAATGTTGGACTCTTAGGCGCTTGAAGTGCGGCTGTTATAGGCACACATGTGATCGATCTCGCTCACAACAGTCTCATCAAGCCTTCCATCCTTCCTGAGTTGGCCAATTGGTACCACATTTGTCTTGGAAGATAATAGAACTGATCCGATATATCGGTAGGCCACCGCTTGTGATTGTTAAAGCCAAATTGCATTCAGTTACCTCTAACGATGCTTAGTGCAGTCGAATGCTTGGCGCATCCCTCAAGGATTGATAGACCCCAAGGCGGTAATCCATAATTGAACTGTTGTGTAACGAAAAAAAAACCCCGCCTGCCAACGAATCACATTGCTGGTAGCCCTTGGTGATGTTTTGTGAGGCTTATAAATCACATCTGAGCTTTTCCTCGAATGTTTGAACCCGAGCTTTTTGCAAATTATAGAGCTGTTTACTAAGGTGATACTAACATGTCTAAGAGGGAATTCCTTGCAAAACATAACCTACGAAGAAAGCTCGATTCGACAAAATACACGACAGTAAGATTTTCTAATCCTCACAAAAGATAGTCATTTGGTTCTTTGTTGTCTATGAGGACAAGTTTGCCAATGTGAAACGACTTTTTCTTATCAGTACTATTCAGTTGTAATCGTTGTTTACAACTGCAAAACATCACCAAACGCCAAAATCAAGTAAAGAACGACCCCTGCGTGGAACTTCCTTTTAGCGACTGCATTCCAGTACTCTTAAAAACAACTATAAACGCTGCCTTATCCGACGAATAGAGAGAAGGCGAAGGTTATGCGACAACTTAGAGTAACTAATTAAGCTGGAACTCACAAACCTTTAACTCATTTTTGCATATCTGCTCTTCGTTATTACAACACGGTGGTATCTCGTGAGATTGAGACATCCTATATGTAAATGAAATCCATGTATTCCTTTATTGATATGAAAAAAGCAAATGACCACAGAATAAGTGGTATATAAACCATAGTAGTCAATGACTGATTCAACAAAGAATGTTTTATTCAAATATAAAATGTGTTGAGACTTTTATTCATAAGAGAAAATCTTCGAACCGTTATTTACACGGAAATGGCTTCCTAAAAGAAATGTTTTCAGCTACAGCATTGACAAGGAGACAAGCCACAGGTTTACTATTGAATGAGGACTAAAATTAGATTCTTTAGGAAGTGAATTGGTTTTACGAAACGTTAAAAGGGTATCAGGTTAGTATTAACAGGATTTAAAATCGCATGGAATGAAAACGCCGTAATTCAGGGATCTTATTCCTTATTTCAGGGGTTTCAGGAATGAAAACAAAGAATTTTATGGCTAGTATTGCTTGAGTGGAAGGGAAACCTACCATCTAATTAGCAGCACACTATTGAAAGTAATATCAAAGTCATTTAGATGCAGGTCGTAAACTACTTCTAGGAGTTAGAACTGATTTCAGTTACATCTGTGCAATATAGTACAGTCATATAAGGCAGCATTAATGATGGCAAAAGTAGAATTAGCTCAGAATAATAGAAGGTAAACTTCATAGAGAAATAATAAGCACTTATCCCTAGCACATTAGACAGTAGGACTCTGCTATTTAAGGCATAACGGATACAATTTGACTGCATGAGGCTATGGTGTAAACACAGAGAGTCGTGTGAGCAGATCTATTTAGTTATATCTTTTTGTCTTAAGAAATTAAAACCCAACCAGCCACATCAGACCAAACTGGTTTGAAATCTCCAAATCCATGACCTATGTGATTTGACTTGATCCACTATAACTACGTCTTGGAGAACTGGTAGAGTTCAAATCGGTACCCTAAATCCTTTAATTGTTACACTGATATTGCGTGTTTGGCTCTATTTGGAAGCCTTTCCTGGTTTTCTAAGGCAAAACCCAAAACTGTCTTTGTGAAGCACATCGATGGTAAATGATATATTTAAGAATCCGGGGGTTTAGAGGACAACGCAGAATGGGAATAACGGGATATAGATGGGACCAAATGGAAAAACGTGATTGGATTAAAAACAGAACAGAGACAGTTAAATCACGCTTACCGGATTTTCAATGAATTCTACTGATTGTGGACTTTCTGCATCTGGTGGAACGTAGTAGCTTGATTCGCGATCCGATACGAAGCTTCCTAAGAATAGAGCAACGAGAATGGCCGATGAAGTTGGTCTGAATATGAAAAAAGCAAGTAAGCATAACCCACTGCAATGATCTTCGGAACGTTCAACACTGGATACGGACGTTGATCGAGCAGATGCAGGTGCAGGTGGCACTATGGTTGCAGTACTTAGACTGCTGACTCGACGTACGAAAGTTAACAGTGAAGGTGTCGAGACTTAATTAGTTTGATTGCAATTACTTTGAATGCCTTCAGTAATTCACTGCTCTCTTGATGAGAAAATACGAGATTTTTACTTTATTCTTTACCTGTGAATAAACGGGCGTTTCGACGGACTTTGCCTTCCTCAGAACCTAGTAACGTCAAGCAGGCCGGAATCTACCCAGTCAAACACTTCCATAACCAAACAGAGAAGGAGCTACACCAAAATTTCAACTTATTCTGCGCTTTTGCCGAAGAGCCTATTTTGTGTTCAATGTGATTGGAATCTTGGTTTAGCGCTTTCTCTGTTTGGTTATGGAGGTGTTTAGTTGGGTACATTGCAGTGAACTTGACCTTCCCGGGCTCTGAGGAAAGCGAAATTCGCCGAAAGGTCAGCTTGTGCGTAAATAAAGAATAAAGTAACAACCTCGTGTTTGCTCATCAAGAGAACAGTGATGTATTCGATTAGTGCCGAGATGAAAAGAAAGTACGTCATAGAAATTACTTTATCATGTGTTTTTAGTAATTTCTTCGAAACATTATGGAGACTGCTCATAATGTTATACCTTTTTTATTTTCTGCCTACTATAATTTCGCGGCAGGGTACTAAGCGAAATACAACCACAACGTTGCTGAGATATTTGCAAAACTCTGGACCATAGACTGCAAAACATAGACACCTGCGGTCCAGAATTTTGCAAATATCTCAGCAACGTTGTGACTGCTCATAATATTTCAAAACTGACTTTCCATTAACCTCGGTTTGAGTAGCCAACACGTATTCTTTTATTGATAAGATTTCACGTGGTTAATAAACAGCTCTATTCGGGTAACGTTTCAACGTATTCGAACGTTTCTTTCCGAGGTTAGAGACGAATAACTGTGGAACATCGAATCGGACCGTCGGCTCTGATGAAGACGAAGATGTCTAAACGTTAGCCGGATAGAAATTATTTGTCAACCTCATGCAAGCTTACCAAAAAAAATGCCGCTCACAGTGTTTGCTTTGAGTTTTTTTCTTCTATCAAACACAGAGTATATAAAGGTAAAAGTTGCAGCATTTCCGTGGAAATCTGTGGTAGAATTATGATAAACTGCTGGTTATTACGATGCAGAAAGGTAATTCACTACAATAAAGGATTCACTGTTTCCGATAAAACACAGGCCCGAATAACTGACTAAATCCTGGTAAGCTAGTGGAGCAATATTTACAGAGGCAACGAAGGCCACCATGAAAATCAACAAAAAATCCTTTTCACTTGCTTCAAGAACTATGTGGATTGTGCGGCCTAACAAGTAACAACCCCAAATCGCCTTCACAGAGGGTTCTCATACCGACTATTCGCGTGGCAAAGTGGCATTTTCTCAAATGGTGCATAGGGAGTTAATCGCAGACCAAAATAAACCTTTGCATCCCTGAAATGCGGGTAGATCAAGAAGATGGCCTCTATTTTTCTCATGCAGCGATTTGGCACATACCTTCAGTGTTTGATCTCCTTTATGCGCTTTATATTCTACGAGTCAATTCGGCCAAAAGTCTGCAATCAAATGACAGGGCAGTACATGGGAGGTGGTTAGGAGTTGTCCCGAACAAATAAGCTCCATGTCCACTCTGGGAGACACTGGCAAGCTACCCGTAAGTATAGGCGGACTCCACGTTCAGAGCCGAGCAACCTATGTATCAAAAGCTGGACGCGGTAAGATAAAAGGGTCTTATTCCCCTGACCCCGAAAGATCATCCGATTCGGCAGCATTGGGTAAAACGAGTACGGAGTGGCCGCTAAAATCTCAGTGCCATTTTAAGCTGCCTAATTGCAAAGAACTTAGGTGCATACATCCGCACCTACAGTGCATGCATCTGAGTCAACAGAATATTTCATCATGCAGGCTAGAATGATAGGGCATGATGTCACCGGACTGACAGAGTTGAGAAAGCGCCACCCATTCAACGCCGTCTATGGCATCGGAGGAAAACTGTTCCCAGGGACATACGACAGTGGAGGGGTTTTCGACGTTGGCATTTTCGTCAACACGAGTTTGGTCACCTACATCGACTTATCCGAAGAGATAACAACCCGAATCTGACGACTAATATTGAAAAGATGTGGATCAATACCGACTTTGAAAGTATTTGTCGTCTAGGGACCGAAATCGAGTTTGATGAAGACGAAGTTGAAATGTTCTTTGTGGACTTGGAGAAATTCTACACAGAATGCTATACATTATTTTGTGGTCAACAAAAAAGAATTTAATGCTAAGATTGGACTCAGAAGAGCTTCTGAAAAATGTTATATTGAGCCACACAGATCAGAATGGAACGAGCGGGTTGAGCGGCTGCCTGATTTTATCTTGACGACCGAGATCTGCAACTTGCAACTCTAGAAACTCCACCCTCAACGCTGAGCGTTGGAGTCTTCTATGGAAAGTGCCATAACGAAAATAGACTATATCAGAGTAAATGGAAAGTTTTGCCTAACAAATGTCGCTGTTGTCACAAAATTCTTTGTGAAATCGCTTTCGTCGCTCAAGATTTCGTTTCTACGGAAAGGAGAAGAACCCGTCAAAGCAAAAAATCCAGGTCTTAAAACCATCATAAAGTGCAATTTATTTAATCCATTGGTCGGCTGTTGGGAAAGTGCCTACTTCTCGATAATATCGGCGAGTAATACGACCCACTCATTCAATATCGTCACATTTGCGCTGTAAAGGCTTAGACTTGTCACCAAGAGATGTCTGCCCCCAGAAACACTCGAGGTGGTACCTTAGCTTGGAGTCGCACGAGCTATAGATAACCGCCAACGTAGTTATAGATGAAGCTGCAGGGGCTGAGAAGAGCATTCGCAAAGTCCACTGAAACTTTGCCAACTGCAAAACCAAGATTGCTGCACTTCGACGCCCACAGTTACAGCGTCCAGAAAGATAAAGGAGAAAATCATTCACGAACAGTACTCAGATCTCTTCGACAGCCACGTCCTTCTGCGCTCAACACGTCATACTAGACATGAAATAAAACAGGATGGAGATGCCGTACCACCGGTTCTCCTTTCCGAAATCGTAAGCGATGTTTCGTCAGCGAACAATCGAACAGCACTAGGCCGAACAGGATGAGGCCAGAACTCTTCAAGAACCATCCGCGAGTCTTCATCGATACGCCCAAGATTTTTCAATGAAGGTAACCTCCACGGTATCGGCAACCATCGCCCAATCTGCTTGCTTTCTGTCGTCTACAAACTTTTCACTCGAGTCATCCTAAACAGGATTGACAAAACACTAGACGAAGGACAGCCATGTGAGCAAACAGGGTTTTGAAGAGGATTTAGTACGATGGACCACATCCACACGGTAACACGGCTCATTGAAGTTTCGCAAGAGCACAAAAGACCGCTCTGTCTCACTTTCATGGGTTTAAGGAAGGCCTTTAATTCAGTTGACATAGAAGTAGTTTTGGAAGCCCTTGATAGTCAAGAAGTGCCTACACAATACATAAAGATTCTTTGTGGGCTGTGCAAAAATTTCACAACAAAGATATCACCATTCTGCAACGATATTAACATTGACGTCAAAAGATGGGTTAGGCAAGGCGATACCATCTCGCCAAAATTATTTACCACCAACCTCCAGAAGGTTATGCGAACATTAGAATGCGATAATATGGGAGTGAAAATCGACGGTCGGCAGTTACACCATCATCGCTTTGCTGATGACATCGTCCTTGTAACAAAAAACATTAGCGGAGCGGAACGTATGCTTGACGACTTTGATAAAGCCTGTGGAAAGATTGGTCTTCGACTAAATCCCACAAAAACGATGTTCATGAAGAACAGATTGGTTTTGCATACCCCATTCACGCTCAACGGAACGAATACCTCCGAATGCTCCAGTTATGCCTATCTAGGTCGTGAAGTCAACATGTTGAATGACTTAGCTCCAGAGCTGAGCAGAAGGAAACAAGCGGTTTGGAGAGCGTTCAAGAGCATCGAGGATGTAGTGAAGAGAACAAAGAACACCCGACTCCATACCCACCTTTTCGACTCCACCATTCTTTCTTCCTTAACGTCAGAAACTTAGTCGCTGCGTAAGCAGAATGAAGGACCACTCGGCGTTGTTCTACGCAAAATCGGAAGGACGATGCTACGAGTATCCCATATCAGATAACTTATGGAAGGGATCCGAAGCTCTAACCTACGTCAAAGATCAAAAATTCACTGTTCTGTATGCCAGATTGTCGGAAACAAGTTGGACTAGGCGTTGATGCGTATAAAGGAAGCGTCTGAACAAGGGCCATAAGTAGTTGGATTCCTAGTGATGTCAAGCCTACAGCAAGAAGACCATGGACTCGATGCTCTGGGTTTTTGACGAAGATCTTTGAAGCAATATATAACGCTCTACGAGCTCATTGAGCGAGCAGAACTCACTGGACTAGTTTTGCACGTGAGACGGAGAAATAGAAGGTTCATCGACGCCGGCTTGAGTCACTCTACGATCAACGGCAAGACAGGTGAAGTCCTACTTGAAGAAACAAGAAACCAAATGAATACCTCAGAAATTTCTGTGTAGTAGTAGTAGCCTGTGTGTAGATGTTTGAAACACTCACGAACGACATGAGGTTGTCAAAAACTATCGTTATATAGATCCAGAAGTGAGGTAGAAAGAACGGTTAATAACGGTAATGGTGTAAGCATTCGAATAATCGTAATTAATTACGACCCAAAAGAGTTGCTAGCACTTAGCAAAGAAATTAGACTATTTGGTCGCAGTAGCCACCTCGTGTAGAGAACCAAATAAAGTGAAAAAGGCTGAAGTCAATATGGATAAACATCACTGATGACGAGAAAACCTACCTATTGGAAAAACATGGCTTCGTAAATGATCATTGGTATCAGCACCTACTTCAATCGGCTCTGTTGACGTTGATACGCTAACAAATGGTGTTGACATGTTTGTACTTCTGCCCGTTTGTTCGGGTGTAGGTGAAGGGCTTGATATTGGGGATATGAACGGAAGCTGCTGAAAATAAGTACTAATAGAATCTGCGACAACAAAATTTCATTTGGTCAGGAATTTCACGACTGTTGCCATACCGAATCTTTGGTGCACAGTTGTATATTCCTTCAACCTTGTGTATTACATCAACTCTCTTATCCAAGTATAGTTGTCATTTACCTACCGTTTCTCCTTCTTTCCTCGTAAATCTTTTCATGTGTAGTATTTCTTACTCATCCTGCAACTCTATTCACTATTCATCTCGGACACTTTACCTTCCCCCCTTATCCGTGTTCTGTACCTTGTTCTATCTCATTCGGGTACATTGTGTTCTACAAGCGAATATCAACTCACCTTTTTGTGGGCACAAAAAATTTGATAAGGGGAAAAACTGAGCTAAGCAATAAAAGCAAAAATACTTGTATTTGAATATTATCCATATTACGGGTTGTGCCTGAGATGGCTGGCACTATTTGCGGAGAGATGTCGACAACCACATTTTGCAAGGGAACGACAGCGTTTTGACTGGATGAACCACCACAACACTGCAAAAAACAGAGCAAATCAAAAAATGTTAGAACTGAAAGGTGTTTTTAAGGCTGTGAAGAAAACTAACATAAACGACCTGTTAGCCTAAGATTTGGAATCAAAACGCACAAGAAATTTCCAGATTTTCTTCGTTAGCAATAGAGGACGTTGAGATTCGCTGCGACTTTGAGATCGGCTGTACGTTTCGTCTTCTCTCTCTAACTGATCGACGACGTATAGAATCTAGATTGGATTAAGACATGAAAAAACAATTCTCAAATCCACTAGGTCATGAAACTGACCGCAAGAAACCGATTCCGAAAAGAAGAAAATTTCCATTTTTAAATAAGGATAGGAAATCGTTAAGAAGAAGCTTAAAAGTATCTAGAAACTAGGAAAACATAGATGGAAGTTAAGCACACAAAAATAACTCACGCACCAAATTCTTGCTCTGCCATACACGGAAATCGTGAAAATAAAACAATACTGTGAACAACATCCAGAAGAAGAACACAATTATAAGGAAGATCGCCATAAAACCAAAGGCAAGAATTTCTGTAACATTAATACTACACTGTGAAACTGTGATTGCGTCAAATCCATAAGAGAAAATTATTGACCGAACCAAGACGTTTTTCCTATTAGGACAAAAATACGCTGGTTTATCACCATCCTCTCTGGAATGTTTACATGCCATAAATGGTGACTGGCTGGCACCCATCCCATTAATCCATGCTTTGGGAGAATTTTTTTTTGCCAAGATAACCGAAAATACAACTAGAAAAAGCTATAACTATAAAGATTTACTGGTTTATCTTCCGACTCGAACGTAGCTTGCCAAATTTTGGTAGAACAACAACGGTAGAGATTTCCTGCCTCTTGGGAAGAGTTATAGACTTTACTCCACCTTTGTATAGATCTTTTAAAAAGCTGTTCATTAAGGTATTTTCTTAGACGAACATGGATGACAGTATACACATCTCTTTAGGATTCTCAGCTCTAGCTGATTTGCCACCAAAGCACAGAACTCTGGTCTCACCGCTCTACACACAAGTAAAGTTACTACAAATAACAATTATAAATTATTTCGCTAGAGAGTTTCCAAGTGAAACACAAATGTGAGGATACATTTGCATACGATTAATACACTAGAAACCTTAGGTTTTTATAGATCTTCACCTGAAAAGGTTCTAGTTTGCATATAACATGTATTAGGGTGGCTTCTTTGTTTATTTATATGAAGCGTCATCACATATTGTATGCATCCTAGGACTTTCACTTCCCATTCGTAATCCCCCCTTGTTCATCTACAAAGGCCTAGAGACATTCGAATGGGTATGGACAAAGTGGTACCGAAAGCCAAGTAGTAAAAACATCTTGGTTCATTACCTCTCCTCTCACCCCTCTCACACGAAAAGGGCGCTTATAAGAAACATGTTTCGAACAGCAACCAACGTGTGCACGGGAAGAGAGCAGAGAGAGGAGTCCCGGAACTTGGCACGGTAAATAGCCATTTCTAATGGCTACGAAACTGTAGCTCAGGATAGGTGTAGAGGAAATCGTACACCTCCAAA